CAGACTGTCAAGTCAGTAACGCGGACTGACAAGGTTTACTATATATAAAAAGATAGGTTACGCGGACTGACAAATCAGTTACACGGACTGACAAGTCAGTTATGCGGGCTGTCAAGTCAGTAACGCGGACTGACAAGGTTTATTATATATAAAAAGATAGGTTACGCGGACTGACAAATCAGTTACGAGGACTGAAAAGTCAATTATGCGGACTGTCAACTCAGTACTGTGAAATAATGTATACAAATTCCTTTTAAATTGAACAAGCATTTTCATTTTTACAAGGTGTCGAAAGTTGTGAAAATGAGTTCAGTCAATCAGGTATTAAGAAAAAGTTTCTCCAACCTACCGAGTTTTTTCCATAATCTGCAAAGAACCAATCCTAACACCTTCACTTGCATTACAAAAGATCAGTACAATCGTTTCAAAATTTGTTTTGTGGCATTGGGATGCGTGGTATGTAATCCCTTATAGTAAATATTTACTTATCTAAAGTTGTTATATGGCTAATATTCTTATCTTCACTTGCAGATTCGTACGTTTCTCATGTAACGCCCGCAGATTCGGGCTACTCACTTTAGAGACAATAAACGTCAAAAATGACTTTTTTTATAGGAGATTATTTAGAATGAATAATCTTAACCAAGTTATATTATATGTCACAAGGGTTCCGTACATATAAAGAACGCCGCAATTCGAGTTATAACGAAGAAGTTATGGCTCGTCGAAGTTTTACGGCGAAACCGGCACAACACCGCGTAATGTAAAAAGTGAATTTTTGATAAACTAATTTTTAGCCTTAGATATCTAAATGAAAGTTGTAATATACGTTAAACCAAGAGTGTGCATAAAAAGAACGTCAAAATCTGACTTTGTATGAGGAAGTTATGATTTTTCTAAGATTTGGCATAGTAGTACACAGCCCGAAATTCGAATTTTAGATCGGTCGATTTTTGGCCGACACAACCTAAACGAGAATCGAAGATCTCGTTAATAGTAGCGCAACGGTAAAAAGACAGACGAAAACGGACTTCGGATGAAGAAATTATGAATTTTTAACGGACTTTTCCTGTCCCGGCCTGTTAAAAATATAACTTTAAAAATAAAGTCAAACTTAGCCGACGGAGTCTAAACGAAAGTTGTAGGGTACAGTCCCGCCTACGCGTGGATATAAAGAACGTCAAAAACGGAGTTCGTATGAACGAGTTATAAATTATAATAACATATTTACGTATTAAAATAAAGTATAAATCATATATACGTATACATATATATACAAATGTATATATCATTAAAAAGGTATCGACGATGCGGTCATTATAAGACTAGTGTTGAGTACTTTCGACATTAGTTTAGTACGCATATCGTTAAATCTATTTGAAATAGTATTATGAAGGGGTGTTTAGTCGTTTATATAACTATAAGGTCATTAAGTAATTATGGAGGGTAGTGTTTGTAAATCCAATTACTATAAATAAGAGCATTGGGCTCTCATATTTCTTGCACCATTCTCTTGATTCAAGAGTCTTTCTCTTCTTATCCCCCGAGCATTTCGGTCCCTCGTGATTCAACTTCTCTTTCTGTAGTTTTAGTATAGTAAGATGAGCGCTGAAGCGCTGCACGAATCTTTCTTAGAAACATTCAGCGACGAAGTTCTGCCCCTGCAGAGCCCGACTCCTAGCTAAAACACCATTGTAAGTAAGTTATGCTTACCCTATTTTAATATAGCTTATATTTAAAATTAGTATTGTTATTATAACTTATAATAAATATTTGGGCTATTATTATGACTTATATAAGTGTCGTTATAATATCTTTTTAACTACTCGCGGTACGGGGAATCTGGTTTAAAGGGCCGAATAGGGTTGTTGGATTTCAGAAGTGCTATATGCCAAAATGGTCCTGCCCTTCGGTGTTTTATGTCTGGCCCTGTTTGTACATAGTGGTTGGAAAATATTGTTTAAACGCTTATACAATAATAATAATAATAATAATAATAATAATAATAATAATAATAATAATAATAATAATAAGACTAATAATTAGTCACGGTAAATATTAGACTAAAATCTAGTGGTAATAATACTAGGTTTCGTCGAAGGAAATTATTTTTAAGAAGCGAAGCGCTGTCTGAGTTCGGAATCACCACCTTAACAAGTGAGTGCATAGTTACTTTCATCTTACACATAGATATGAAGTATTTTATATAAATCACGTGCTACGTGTGCATATTATCTGTATACTTGCTATCTATGCTGGATGAACGATTTTACACATGTTTTAAATGATTTAAACTCTATATGTATTTTATATCTACAAAATATGTTGGGTAAATCATGGGTAGATTAGAGATGAGATAAATGATGAGCGATGAAAGATGAGATGCATGATGAGTGATGATATATGAGTGGTAAATTATGGTGAGAAGCGATGACCTAAGCGATGACCTAAGCGATGAGCCAAGCGATGACCCCGTCATCTAGCAGAGTATGGATGATAACCACAGACTATTCTAGACAGTCCAGTGGAACACTAGCAGGCTCGCAACCTGTAGGTGTTGTGAACGATGTGTTCACCCGGTGTACTCTAAACCCTGACGACTATGTGACTTAGTGCCTGTTGTATAAACCCTGGGGACTATGAGACTTAGTGCCTAAACCGTGGCAACTATGCGACTTAGTGCCTGTCGAGTAAACCCTGGCAACGATGGATTTCGTGCCGATTCCTTAGGATGATCCTTAGGAATGAATGAACGAGGAATAACTAATTCTTAGGGTAGATCCTTAAGAGTAAAGAAGATAATGGAGATGGGTAATTGGGTTGATTGTTTGATGTTTAAACATAATAATTATATTATTGTGGGTTGAAAACCCTATGTACTCACCAGGTTTCCCAACCTGACCCACTCAAGCTTATTTGTATCACAGGTGTCGATATGAAGCGACTTTACACTGAGAGATTTAAAAGAGATGTAGATCACTAGTGTAAATGAATGTAAGTTCTGTTTATGCTTATGTTTCTGTATTGACGATGACATCCCAAGGTTTTGAAAATGAATAAAAATACATTTCTTCGGAAATGATTTGATAACGTATTTATCATGTTTTTCTGGAAACATATTCTGCAACATTTTTTTTAAAAGAGGTACTCTGATTTTTATAAAGCATAAACAAAATCGGTTTTTTCTGGCCGTGAAAATGGGGATGTCACATCTCACGTCTATGATACCAATCATATTCGTTGGTCAAGTACCTCTAACTGGGACGTACGTAACATCCACGTACATTGCGGTTGCTTTAGATGGAAATCATGAACCCCTTCTCATAGAGTTTTCTTTGGGAACCATAAACTGTGACGATTCATGGTTATGGTTCATGAGGAGGCTTAAAGAATGTTTAGGTGACAATACGAAAGTTGGTTTCATAAGCCATATGTCTGATTCCATAGACTTTGCAGTTCAAAGAGTCTACCCTGATTCATATCATGGCTATTATTGTAAAAATATAACTGAGAAAATACGCGCTTCCACCGGAAGCAATACAGTTGTAGAGCGGTTGTTCTGGAAGACTTGTAAAGCGTATAATATGTCTGATTTTTATGCATGTTTTAACAACTTACAAAATGAGGTGAATGGGAATGATCTTGATTGGCTTGACAATATTTCCATTGCAAAATGGGTACGGGCTTTTTTCCCTAAAGTACGTTTCAATGTTAAATTCATTGATATTCCCGATGTTGTCAATTGGATAAGAACAAACAGGCATGAGTTTCCAATAACAACAATCATTGAAAATGGTCCATGACTCGATGCAAGCAGTGTATGTTCAACGTGCTTCACTCAGAGGTAATTATAAGTTATGACATCACTCAAATGGTCAAATGATATGTTATTATACATTATGACATCATAATTTTTTTTATCATTAAGTTCATTTCACAGGGGATTTTCATGGTCTTCTAACCCCTTATGCACTTAAGGTGCTTCATAAAAGATTTATCCACTTCGATGGTTGTAGGAGTAGGCATATTGTTGGCGACAAATATGAAGTGAGTATGTATTCAACCACGGAATCTGTGCAATTAGACCGTGGTATTTGTAGTTGCGGTAAATAGCAAAAATGCGGTATACCTTGTGAGCATGCTATAGCTTCACTACAAAGGCTTGACATTGTAGAAATCCAACAAATGGTAAATTTAAAGTTAACTACCGTGGTGTATCGAAATGGTTTTCAAACTGAGACAGTCAATCCTATTCCAACCCTTAGGCATTGGGAAATACCAGTTGAAAGTGTTGTCGTCTTACCTCCACGAAAATTCACTTGAACTGTAATGTATGGATCACAACGAATATTAGTTTGTATTCATTTCTATGTTAACCTTACTTTTGGTCCGTTGGTGTTGTTTAGTTTTTAATAAATAATGTTTACCTTTTAATAAATAATTGTATTCCCATAATTGTAATCAGGGCCGGTCCATAGGTTTTCAATGCCCTGGGCCAAAAAACTTAACAATGCCCCAATACCTTTATAAAATATATATCATAGTTAACTTTTGCATTTTCAACCGGTTCATAAGAGTTACCCCTAATGTAATCGATTTAAAAAAATATAGAGCCAAACAAAATTATTAATAGTAAAGCACATGAAAACAAAAACTAGATACATTAAATTATTAGAATGTGACAAATAAATAACTTCTAATGTCATTATCTTAAATGTCAATATAATGTCAAAATTAGTGAAACATGTCACTGTGTTCATCAATTTGTAATATAATCTCAAAATTGAGACAAGTACACTTCAAATCTTCTATCAAAACTGGGAACAAGGAATCTATAGCAACAAAAAATTGTTAGAATTGCAGAACCACCCAATTAAGGTAATCAACCTCACGGGGCACAAAATCCAAGGGCATAATCGTCCAGCCAATCTATCCATTTAATATTCTTTGAATCCAAACTCCAGGTCACTTTAAATTGACAAATTTAACTAAATACACCTCTATGATAGGGTTATAACATCAAGGGCAGAATCGTCCAAACCAAACGTGGCAAACAACATTACACCACACCTGGGTAAAATTCCAAAACAAAAAAAAAACATAACATTAGATAAGAAAAAATGACATCTAGAAAAGCTAAGCAACAAATTGAGAACCGAGTAATTTCATAGCAATAGGGGCACGATCATCCATAATATGAACCATACAGAGAATACTTCCATTCCAAATCTGATCAGTACTAGATCGCAGAGAAGAAAAACATCCAGAGAGTCACGGATATCATAGCAGGAAATAGTATCAAAAAAATGAAAAATAAAATCTTCTTGTGCTCTTGGCAGAAATCGAGAGACAAGAGTGGAGAGTTTAGAAAAATCGAGAGACTAGATAGGAGCGTTTAGAGAAATCGAGAGAGAATATACAAGAGTTTATAGAAATTACATTTCTTATGTTCTTGACAAAAATCGTTTTGCGTATCCGAATAAGAGCCTCCTGACTAATCGACGATTGAGAAACCAATCGACTCCTCGTCTTCTACATCCTGGCATTTCGACTTTCTAGGTAACGATTGGGAAAGATGGAAGTGAGTAAGCGACGATGTATCGGACTCGGAGATGCTGAACGCATTTGGGCCAAATGCCTATAATAATAACACGATGGACTGAATTTATGCCCTTCTCTTTATTGCTGCCCTGGGCCTCCGCCCATCTCGCCCAGGTATGGGTCGACCTTGATTGTAATGTATGGATGACAACGACTTGACACACAGCTCCGCGGACTGACAAACAGCTCTGCGGACTGACAAACATCTCTCTGCGGAGCTGAAGGGTTTATATATTGTCATGGACAATCGCTGAATTTTTGGTAAAGAGTTACAAATTATTTTGAAATTTAATATGAGTTCATCTTCAAATTTGTATATTTGCTCGTGCAACGAACTTGATTGTTTCTATTGTGATCTAATCAACCCTTTTCTTGCCCCATCGCCAAACATAAGAGAGCCGTATATGTCTGATGATACTTTGCAACAATTACAATGGGCTGAAGAACAACAAAAAAAAGATAAAGAGTCATCTCAGGCTCTCACTGAACGTCGTGACCTCATTGCAGCAGAGTGCAAAAAGGTTGAGGAAAGGATGAAGATTAACAAAAAAAATCAAAGATCATGAGGAATGGATAAAAAAGACGAAGAAGACTATCAAACTGACTGAAAAATGGCTTGCTGAGAAGGATGCAGAAATGATAGATCTTGGGCGGCAAAAGGACCGTTTTGAAGATAAAATAAGAATTAGGGACGACTATATAACAATGGAGAAAGAAAAGTATCCATTGCAATTCCCTTAAGTTAATTACTCTTGTTGTACGTTTATTATGTGTTTTTGGTTTGTTGTATGTATTATCTTCGAGTTTTATTCATTATTCTACTAGTAATGATGCACTAATATAATCATAATATTACCCATAATCTTTAAAGTAACCACACCATTTCAAAATACACAATCAACGTCTTCCAAAACATAACATAATTAATTATAAATACAACATCAATCATTCAAATCAAACGTTGAATAATAGTCTTCTCTTTGCGTCCCTTGCGTCTCTTGTGTCCTGTCCATCTTTAGCGTCTCGTGAGTCCCTTGTGTCCCTTGCGTCCCTTTCCCTTTCCCTTTTGTGTTACTACCTGATGTCGCGTTACTTTTTCTAGCCTTATTTTGTTTCATTGGGACCAATGCCGGACAAGTCACTGCATTATGTGTTGTACTATCACATCCACTACACCTTCTTACTATAGGTTCCTCACCTTGTGACGGGATACGATTTCTGTTTTTCGGTCTACTAGCTTGACGTGTATCCATTATCGGAGGTTTAACAACCATCATCTCAGCAGGAATCTCCCACTCACACGGTTCTGGAAGGGGGTAAACCGCCTCCTCATACGTACTTCGGTACGTTTCCATTTTGTAAACATCTATAGCCAGATGTCCAAAGTTAGTTTTTTTCAAGTGCTTTAAGACCATTATGACATGACCACAAGGCAACCCAGTTCCATCCCAATATTTGCATGTACAAGTCTCTTGCCTCAGATCAACTATGCCACCATGTTTGAAATCATGCACTTGATATATTGCATCTGAAACACCAGAAACGGACCATCCTGTCATACGCTCTTCATTTTTCCTAACTACTTTTTCAGCCCACTCCGTTAGCACTGTTGAACGTTTCCCTGTAAAGAACATATATATAATTAACTTATTATTCAACATAATTAAAGTCCAAATTAAAGTCATACCTCCATCGATGTGACGCTTGTTACACCATTCATGTGAAAGACGACGGAAGAACTCAAGAAGGGGTACTATAGGCATCTTCCTTGCATCTACAGATAAAGCATTCATGGACTCTACACTGTTCGAGGTCATGTAATCGTACCGTTTCGACGACGAATATGCTCTAGTCCATTTAGCACGTGGAATTTCACTTAGATACGCCGCTACTTGCGGCCTAATAGTACTAAATCTATACCACAAATCTTCAAAAAACATTTCTTTTGTAAGCTCTCACAAGCCTCCAAAACAACACTTTTGTTTTATCATTTTTCCCAAACCTGTGTACTATGTTTCCTAATCGATGAAAAGCATATACGCCATGATGAGCATGTGGGAAAACATTTTCAATACTAACCCGAATTGCATCGGCCCTATCAGTTACAAACGTCAAATCGTGACAATCACCAACGCATTCATACAACTTTTCAAGAAACTATGTCCAAGTAAGACCACTCTCTTTTTTGCATATTCCATGTGCAAGGGGCAATATCTGGTTGTTCCCATCCATAGTTACTGCATGCAATATGGTTCCCTTAAAATCACCTTTCAAATGGGCACCATCTATAATTATAACTTTACGACAAAAACGTTTGAACGCTCATATCTGCAATATATTAAAATGGAACACATAAACACTATATTTTTTTTACAAATAATTATATATTAAATAACAAGTTTTTTGTATTTACCGTACTCCCGATGGCATAAAAACAACACTCGAAACAATCTTCAGAATTTGTTTGTATATAGGCCACTGTACTGGGATTATGCCTCTTCAAATTATGAAAATAAATAGGAAGTTTGGAAAAACATTCTTCAGAGAATACCAACAACAGTTCCATAGCATATTGTTTTGCACGCCAAACTTATTTGTAACTTACATTGATTTCCAGCAAAGCATTCAAATCCCTTGATATTTCATTAGGCCTCCAAACCTTGGAACGAGTTTTTCCCATAATCTCATGCAATATAGTACCCATGACTTTTTTATTTGTGTGCTTATGATTTGGGTGTATATGTAATGACGAACATGTGTGCACGTTGTTGAAAGTCCTGATTTCAAATTCATCTGTGGGATCAATGCGTTTTGCATATAAACGCCAAGTACAATTCTCAATTTCACAATATACCTCATAACGGTTTTTGTTAGAATGTTTGGTCTTAAACTGAAACTTTTCTCTGGTTGCTTTAAGACTCAAAGCAAATATTAGTTGTTGTTTGTTATCATACGTTGAACGAACAAACATATCATCATTTGTACCTAAACTGTGAAATGGTACAGGTTCAACAATAGGATCAGGACAATCAGGTATGGGAGGCATACCGTAAAATATGTCTGAAGCTTTTTTTCCGTGTGTGAACTCATCTTCTGACCAGCCTTCATTTGACTCTTCATCGTCTGACAAAGTTTTTGAAGAACAGAGAGTTCAATACAAGAATGATTTTCAGTCTATTATCAATCTCTGGAAGAAGGTACAATTTATACACAAATACAGAAAACACACAGCTAATTACAGCTACTAATTACAACTAATTACAGCTAATTTGTCCTGTAAACAAGGAAATTGGGGGGTAATAAATCATATCCTAAAATAACCTCTCGACAACACTCCCCCTCAAGGTGGATAATGGATGTTTATCATTCCCAACTTGTTAAGAGAGCTCTGAAACACTCTTCCACTAACAGCCTTCGTCAACATGTCGGCTAGCTGATCTTCTAAGGCAACCAAAGGAAGGCAAATAGTACCTTTTTCAAGATGATCTTTAATAAAATGTCGATCAACTTCTACATTTTTTGTTCTAATTGCATCAGTTTGCTTAATTGCAAGATCCCTCAAGATTCTTTTTATCCAAAGTAATTCACACACTCCATGTACCATTCCTCGAAACTCTGACTCCGCACTTGATCTAGCAACAACCTTTTGTTTTTTACTTATCCATGTCACCAGGTTACCTCCTACAAAAGTGGAGTATCCTGAAGTGGACTTACCATAAGTTTTACTTCCAGCCCAATCTGCGTTCGTATACCCTTTTATCTCTTCACTTTGATTCCTAGCGAAAAACAACCCCTTTGTTGGTGATGATTTAAGATACTGCAGTATACAGTAGACTGTTTTCATGTGTTCTTCGCTTGGTGCATGCATGAATCAACTTACGATGCTTACAGCATATGCGATATCTGGTCTTGTGTGATACAAGTATATGAGCTTCCCAACAAGCCTTTGATACCTCTCTTTATTAGTTGGAATCTGATCTGGATGAACAGTCAAACCATGATTCACTTCAATAGGAGTCTCCACAGGTTTACAATTTAGCATGCCCGTTTCAGTGAGTAAGTCCAGCACATATTTTCGTTGGCACATGGTGATTCCCTGACTTGATCTAGCTACTTCGATACCTAAGAAATACTTCAGATTTCCTAGGTCCTTCAATTCGAATTCTTTTGTGAGGACTACTTGAAGGTTGGTCATTTCATCTGGGTCATCTCCTGTGACTACCATGTCGTCCACATACACTATAAGCGCAGTCATTTTTTTTCCATTTTGCTTCATGAAGAGGGTGTGATCCGCATCACTTTGTTTATAACCAATTTTTTTCATGAAGTTTGAAAATCTTCCAAACCAGGCTCTGGGAGATTGTTTTACACCGTATAATGCCTTCTTCAACTTACACACCTTTCCATGACAATTTATGCCTGGAGGAGGTTCCATGTAGACTTCTTCTTCTAGGACCCCATTAAGGAATGCATTCTTTACGTAAAATTGTTTCAAGGGCCAGTCTTTGTTTGCTGCTATGGAGATGATAATACGAATGGTGTTTATTTTTGCAACCGGGGCAAATGTGTCTCCATAATCAATTCCATATTTTTGAGTGTACCCTTTGGCGACAAGCCTTGCTTTGTATCTGTCAATATTTCCATTTGAATCAAGCTTGATAGAGTATATCCATCTGCATCCGACAGTCTTCTTTCCCGGTGGAAGTGACGTTAATTCCCATGTATGGTTCTTTTGTAAGGCTTTCATTTCTTCGTTCATAGCTTCCTTCCACTTGTGTTCCTTCAAAGCATCCTGTACATCACTAGGAATTGATACAGATGATAGTTGATTCACAGCAAAGGCATGAGTTTTCGAAAGGCGATGAGATGAGACATAATTGTTTATGGGGTATTTCGCCTTAGAATTGAGATCTAGTTGGTATTGTTTCTTTGGAACGCCCCTGTTTTGTCTGGTGGGATACCTTGGCTCATGAATTTGATCATGTAAAATAGGGGAGTTGGTCTGAGTATTTACCTGTGGTGAAGTCTCCGGATTCTCGATGGTAATAGGAGTAGCTGAGGGAGTTGTACATTCGTGCTGTTCATGATGATCATTCTGACCCATATCTTCACCAAGGTGCTGGTTACTTTCTTCATCATTATTTTCCACAAACTCAGCATCATCAGTTGTTACGACAGGAGAGACAGGTTCAAAATTGATATCGTTGGTAACAGGCATAGTGTCGGTTGATTAATAACTTCCGAGGGATGTTCATGAGTGATCTCTTCTTCGGTGTCAAGTTTTTTTCCCCCCTGAAGAGAGCATTCATGTTTGAAAAATGGGATGTTCTCATGAAAGACAACATCTCGGGAGACATACATCTTTTTTTCTTTAGGATCATAACACCGATAACCCTTTTTGAGATCTTCATAACCAAGAAATACGCATCTTACTGTTCGTGGCTCTAACTTTCCTATGTTCTGATGTACATATGATGTACATCCAAACACGCGTGGTTCCAAGTTTGGAGTCGTTGGAGTAACAACTAGTTCGTGAAGTTTTTCAATGGGAGTCTTGAAATCAATGACTCGAGATGGAGTTCAATTCATGAGGTATGTAGCGGAGCGAACTGCTTCCCCCTAGTATTCTCGTGGAACATTCATGTCAAATAGGGAGGCTCGAACAATTTCAAGAAGGTGTCGATTCTTTCGTTCAGCCAATCCATTATGTTGCGGTGTATTGGCACACGAGGTTTGGTGTTTAATGGAGTTTTTTTTACAAAAAACTTCATTTCATGATTCACATACTCACCCCCATTATCAGTTTGTAGGACCTGTATGTTGCATTTGTATTGGGATTTTACCATTGCATATAGTTCCTGAAACACCAAACCAACTTCTCGTTTGGTTTTAAGGAGAGATATCCAGGTCATTCTTGTGCACTCATCAATAAATGTGACAAAATAACGAGCACCAGTAGGTGTGGGGATTCGAGCCGGTCCCTAAACATCAGAGTGAATAGTCATGAAGGGAAATAAACTTTTATTAAAACTAGGAGCATACGAAATCCTATGGCTTTTTGCCATTTCACAAACATCACACTTAAAATCAATATCTGTTGTATGTAAAAACAAATCCGGTTTCAATTTCCGAAGATAACTAAATGATAAATGACCCAAGCGACGATGCCATAACCATGCTAACTCTTTACTTCCTTGATTTATTCCAGTACTGTAAGCTTCATCGTGTGGTTTTTCTTCAAGGTAGTACAACTTCCCTCTCCTAATACCATGGCCAAGAATCCGACGAGTCGAAATGTCCTGAAAAACACACTCATCAGGCCAAAATGTTACAAAACAGTTCATGGTTTTTGTGATCTGACTGATGGATAGAAGATTTGAGGATAGAGATGAAACAACTAAAACGGTATCCAAATTCATAGAGTTGGATATATGAGGAGATCCCTCACAGATGACCTTTGCTTCTCCCCCATTAGCAGTGAGAATATTGGATTGTGATAGAGAGCACAAAGAAGTTAGTTTTGAGGAATCATTAGTCATGTGGTCTGATGCACCTGTATCAATAATCCAAGTATTATTAAGATTACCTTTTGATTTATCAGTATCATCTACTTTTTCCACATGAGCAGCCACAGGTTTTGAGGTTTCTTCAGATTTTGAAGCAGCTACAGTTGCTTCACTGATCTTCTTCCTTGGTTTTTTCGAAAAATCCCACCAGTCAGGGTACCCAATAATTTCATAGCATCTTTGCTTGGAGTGACCTTCTTCTCCATAGTGGGTACAAGTGTAGTTGCCTCCCTTGGTGTTGGGATTCTTCCCTTTAGAAGGGCGATTTCGGGTGGCTAGGTGGACCATTCCATCAGGTTCAGTCTTCGGTTCTTCCATGGTAAGTCTCTGGTTTTGATCTTTACGGACATATGCATAACATGATTCCAGATCCATGGGCGGATCTTTTCTGAGAATTTCACTTTGAGTTTGATTGAACTCCGGATCAAGTCCGGCCAAAAAATATGTACTCGAAGACGGGCTAGGGTCTTGTGAAGTGATACGACAACAGTAACATCATCATCTTTGTCTTGCTTCATAATACGAGAGTCAATCTCTTGAAATATACTTACTAGTTCATTGTAGTAAGCGGGTAGGGTTCTTCCGTTTTGACGCGTTGTGAAAGATCTTCGATTCAATTCAAATAACCGTGTTTCGTCGGTGCCATCATAGAAGGTTTTTGCAACTGCTTCCCAAATTTCGTTAGCTGTCTGAAGTCTAATAAATCGCTGCATCAGGGGTGGACTCATTGAATCAATGAGCCAAGTCTTAACACGGTGGTTATCAATAACCCACGCTTCCATCTTCTTTTCATCTGTTGGCTTCGGGTTGGAACCTGTGAGGAATCCTAATTTGTTCCTTGCTCCAATTCGCATCTCCATGAGTTGAGACCATAACGGGTAATTTTTATCATCCAAGATGATTCCGGATGGAAATGGCGCATCTTGTACATTCTGAACAATGACAGAAGGGGTTTCTTTCTCAGACATGGTGCAGATTTTTTTTCGAGTTTTATGAAGGATTCGAAAGAAAAAAAATAGAAAGATCTCTATTTCCGGTATTGCTCTGATACCATGAAGAACAGAGAGTTCAATACGAGAATGATTTTCAGTCTATTATCAATCTCTGGAAGAAGGTACAATTTATACACAAATACAGAAAACACACAGCTAATTACAGCTACTAATTACAGCTAATTTGTCCTGTAAACAAGGAATTTGGGGGGTAATAAATCATATCCTAAAATAAGCTCTCGACAACAGTTTTGTCACACAGTCTTCCAAACTCATATAAATTTTCTTCTTCCACTGTATTCACTGCCACAGTTTTTTCTTGTGGACACTCTTCAACATTATCAGATACAATGTTTTCAACATTATATGGTACAATCTTGTCAACAACTTCTGTCTGTCCGACCCTTCCCTCAAACACCTCCAAATACAAATGCACAATCTCCTTCGTTTCAGAAATTACATTTCTGAGTTGATGAACATCTGCTTCGTCTACAATATTCATAACATACTCATGAACCGTGTGTTGAAATGACAATGATATATTACTATTGAACGCATTAGCTTTACTTTTGACCAAATCAAACAATATTCAACGGTCAAAATTTGGCGGAACCAGTAAACCTAAGTTGGACAACTTTGGTCTAACATAGGTGTTAATCTCATTACTCATCTGCCAAAAACCCCCTGTACATAAAATAACAAAACTCATATTTTCTTTGAAAACAAATTTCTAACACTAAAACCGATCTAATATTGCAAATGAATCTAAAAAAAATGAAAAAAACCGTTTATATCACAAAAAACCGTCGCTAAAAGCCTTGTAACCACCCATTCCGCGGAGCACCTCGTCACCTCCTCTGCGGAGGCTTTAATCAACATCCAAACCAATCCCTCCGCGGAGGGCTTAATGTCTCCGCGGAGATATCTATGCGGACCAATATTAAATTAATTAAAAAGTACAACATTTAACCTCTCCGCGGAGGATTCATTGTTCCGCGGAGGTCCGCAGAAGGTCCTTCGCGGAATGCATGTCTATATCCGGAATTGTCATTTTTCATGTCTAAATTTTGAAATTACTCTCCATTTTTTGACTATAGCCGATATTTTCCCATATATATATATATATATATATATATATATATATATATATATATATATATATATATATATATATATATATATATATACTTACACACACCATGGTAAATGCTCTGAAAGAGTTGAACCATGCAAAGTCACTAAAACTTGTATGCTCGATGGTAAACACGTAAACAATTTGTACAAATTTGACTTGTAACTTGACTACAATAACGTCTTGTGCCACAAATATTCCGCCTTCGGTAGATGTAAGTTGGTTGCTAGTTCTGTGATGGTGTTTTATGAGTTGGCGACTGCTTTTGTTAAGTTGGCCATGTATGTGATGTAAATCGTCCATACATACGAGAACGAGTTGCTCACGAGTGGCTGCATTGTTCAAAACCAACATCAAAACTCAATATATATATTTCTAATAATTTCTAAATAATAATAATAATAATAATGTAATATTGGTATTACCTGTAAAGGAACTGGGACGAATCTGAAGATAATAAACTCACACATCGGCCAATACATAACATTATTGATCATTGTTGGCAACATGTCTCGTTTCAAACGAGCTACAATTTCTGTACCTTTTTCACCTGATAGATTTAATAGATTTCAACATCAGTTTTCAATGACACGACATAAATTCAAGATTTAGACATCAATTTTGGAGTCTATACCTTCTTTATAAGGACCCTTTTCGAGAGAAAATCAATAACTCAACGTATATATCATTCAAGGCTACTATTATATAAGGGAACAATGTATAGTATGGATAACATGAAGGGTAATATATACCTTGTAAGGCTGCATTGATTGAGAAGAATACAGCCATCATAATAGGTCCATATACTGCTTGTCCCATGAATATCTTTTTAAACGTTGTAAAAACGTCTTTCTTAGGGAACACTCTTGACAAGAAGTTGAACCATAAATGTAGCGTGGGACCTAAAATGATCATTCCATATCCAGCCATACGACAAGTACGAATGACATCATAAGGCTCTAATGATTGCCTTGTCATTGTCTGAAGATGGTGTTAGAATGGATATTAAACATCACACTACTACAATCGCTTGAAATCAATAAGTGAATGAAAAAATGTTGTTTGTTATGGATGATGGAATGGAATATAAATCATTCTTAAAGGAAAGAGATTCCTTCCGTTATGTTAGTTTGTATTCCTTATCTAGACGATGTTTTTCTTTTCATTCTACCATGGAATGTATTGACTGAGCTTATATGTCTATTTCATTTTTTTTGCCATTCTATTTCATCCAAGAATTTGGTGGAAACTAGATATTAGTTTTCAATCAAAGAATATCGTGGATGAATATCAATACACGAAAATATAAATTCGACTTGAAAAGATGAAATAAACATGTAGCGTCATAAATATAAGCTATATTATTCATATGATAGGGAGAGTAATTGTAATTGTTTACATTATATGATCATACTATAATAAAAAATATGGCGAAAAAGAGTAGTTGTGGTTGTGAAACCCCTATTTGTACCCAAAAGTTTCCAAGGACTATTTCTTGTGTTTAAATGAATCAAAGGAATCTAGAAAT